AAAAATTGCTTGCAATGTAGCTTGGAATTTGTGTTTCCTATTCTTTTGTTTCAATAACCCTATCCCTAAACCTCATTACATCCAATAAAAGTCCTCTTGATTTAAGTTTTGCAATTATGACTGTGGAGAAGTGATCTTTATGCAAGCTTATGGTAGAAATTTCACATTTGATTCTTTGAGCGAAAACACATTAAAACTAAAACACATATGTGATTGAGTGTATATCCCGTGAGAAGGTTACTAGTTTGCATATGATGATTTTAAAAATAAAAACTTGAAATTGCATTAGCATGACTATCTCACACACTACACTTCAAGGATGATTCAAAGATTACTGCTAATATTTGAATAAGGAAGATGAACTTGGATTAACTTGTTTGGTGCTAGCTATGGTTCTTGATGATTTGTTTTCTTAAATGAAATTCTATGAGGGTCACATAGGGGGAAGCTAATGTTTTTCTTGTTACTTCTTGTTCTTATTTTCTTTGTTTTGCTCGAGGACTAGCAAAAGTTAAGTGTGGGGGTATTTGATCGGATCATATTTATATATATTTTTACTTCGAATTCACTCGTCTTTTCTTGGTTAGTTCCTTATATTTTTGAGCTATTTACGTTATTTTTGTGTTTATAGGATCTGTTATGCAAATTTACCCTTTATTGTCACATGATAATACTAATTTACATTTTATAAACAATGTTTGTCCCTCTCATTATTATGATGTTTGCAAAGGAAGAGAAGAAAGAAGAATAAAATAAAGGGAATCCAAGAGAGGAGTGCAGGAGACAGCGTGACACGCGGGGAGTCAAAGCAGGAAAAAGAAGGCAGAAAACTGGAAGAGGGACACGGCATAATTAAAAGGAAGGAATCCAAGCATGGGCAGCGGGATAAAATAAAAAGGCAGGAAGCTGCCTTAGCAGCTGATAAGGCGTGAGGAAAAGAAAAGCTAAAAAAAGATGCTGCCTTGGCAGCTGGCAGCTAGGACAGCAGAAGAAAGGTCAGAAAAGGATAGAAGGAAAAAAACGAAAAAAGGAGAGGACAGCAGTGGGCTGTCTTGGAGCCCAGAGGAGTGCGCAGGGTGCGCAGAAAATAAAAGAAGAAACGCTGCCTTTAGCAGCAAAAAGGAGAGAAGCAGGAGAGAGGTCAGAGGGCTGCCTTTGGGCAGCTCGCAGAGACGCAGGTCTTGGAGCGGAAACAAGGCAGCGCAAATAGAGCAGAAGGCAGAAGCTGCCCTTTGGGCAGCGTGAAGCTGCGGAGAGAAGGGAAGTGGGGAGCTGGAGAATGGGCGCTGCCTTTGGTAGCGAGGTCAGAGAGAAATCAGCGCGAGGGGAGAGAATTGCAGGCGCAGGAACGAGAAACCAACGGCACAGAACGCTACCCTTGGCAGCGTGGGCACGAAAGCAACAGATCACCTTCTTTCGGTTTAATCTTTTCAAACTTCTATTTTATTTTTGTTTTTAATAATGTGTAATTAAATTTATGTTGGCTAGAGGTTAATTCAAAGCCATGATTATATTTGTAATATGAATTGATTACCTTCAGTTGTGATTTCATAAGTTGTGAATTCAATTTACTTATCCGTTCGTATAAAAACTGATTTGTGTATGTTGGTTGAGAGTGCACGCTTAATTTACATGCATGAATTTGATGCTAGAATATAAGTGAATTTCACCTAATCGTTATGAACTTATTTTCACAAGTAGTAAAGGTTGCTAGTCACAATCACGTTAAGTAAATTCTTGGCAAGAGTATCATGCTTTTCATAGTTACGAATGCCTCGTCAATGCTTATAGTTTTCACAAAGTTTAATGATCTTTGATTGTATCTCTATTGTGCTTTTCACGTAGGGGACTTTTTGAAGAATGTTTTGAATTGTTGTATGCGTTTTCCCGTCTAATTCAATAACTTAAGGAAAACTTGAAGATTAAAAAAGTGCTGTTCACGGTTAATCTGAAGTGTTGAGATTCACAATTTATTAAATGAACAACTGGAAATCATTTTGTATGCAAGTATAACATGTGTGGAGAAGAACCCTCTAGTTAGTCCGTCATTTATCATTTTACCTTAATTTTATGTTTTTGCCAGGAGAAGAACCCTCTAGTTAATCCATCACTTATCCTTTCACCTTAATTTCATGTTTTTGTCAATTCTGTAATTTAATTAAGTTAATTTACTTTTCATCAAAACCAAACACCCATCCATTATTAAATTATATTATTTATTTAGTTTTCTTTATTGTTAGTCTTTTAATTTAATTTCCGTCCATTTCAGTTCCTAGTGTTTAATTTAATTGTTTTCATTATTTTGAGTCATTTTAAGTGTGTTTCGAGTTATTAGAGTTTTTAGCCTAGTTTTGTGTCCTTGAGTCTTATTTAATATTTTTAAATTAATTTAGAATAGATTAGCAATCCCTCCTAATCCCCGGCCTAGAACGATACCCTACTTACATCTATACTACAATTGTCAAAAAGAGGGTTTAATTTGTGTGTCAAGTAAATTCACGCATCATTAACCACATTGTCACTTAACGGTTTATGTAACAGAAGATCTAAAAGATGTATGACATTGCAATTAAATTCACAACTTCGTGTACAACATTGCAATGTTTTAAATATGATGTACGGGTTTCCAACCCAAACTTAAGGGTGCAAACTGTATACCATATTTTTAGTTTTTTTTTTTTTTTTTTTTTGAGAAAATTCAAACAATATTTTTAGTTTAGGTACTAATGGAAAAGTCAACTAAAATCATTTTATAAATAGTACTATATTTTAAAATAGTTACATGATTGCAACTATATATTAGTAACTTTTCTGACGACTAGGGGTTGGTCAGTGACTTTGTCATATATTCAGAGAAATGGACCACAAAATTGTAATTATTTAAACTTTCATCTCATTCTATCAAATTCATCAAAGTACTAAAGATAAATAATAAATTTACTTACATCCGTCTGGCCCGCCTAGACTCAGCCGATGTGCTAGGCCTCAGTCCGTCACCGGACTAGCACCTAGCGTCTTTTAGAACCATGAGAAGTAGTGTTTGTTTTCTTCAGTTTCATAAGTAGTGCATAATTTTGCAATAATTGCAGCAATAGTGTGCATTATTTTTTTGTTCAAATTCAGAATTAGTGTGAGTTATTTTATTCTAGTTCCATAAATAGTGTTTATTTTGTTTCATAAATAATGTGGGTTATTATACTGTAGTTCTAGAAATAGTATGGGTATAATGATGTAGTTCTAGAAATAGTGTGGGTTATTTTGGTTCACTTTCAAAAATAGTGTGGGTTATTATGCTGTAATTCTAGAAATAATGTGGGTTATTATGATGTAGTTTCAGAAATAGTGTGGGTTATTTTGGTTCACTTTTAGAAATAGCGTGAGTTACTATGATGTAGATCTAGAAATAATGTGGGTTATTCTGTTGTAGTTCTAGAAATAATCTGCGTTATTTTTGTTCACTTTCAGAAATAATGTGGGTGATTATACTGTAATTCCATAAAGGGTAGATCGCCAAAATGGTCCCTGAGATTTGCATAACTCATCACTTTGGTCCCTGAGATTCCAAATCGATAAAAGTGGTCCTTGAGATTGTCCACCATCCATCATTTTGGTCATTCCGTTAAAAACTCCGTTAAGTGTCCCGGAGCTTTTGGCCAGAAGTTTGGGCAATTTTCAAAGCTTCGTAACTCAATCGTTTCTTAACCAATTTCGACCCATAATATATCAAAATGAAGATAGGAAAGTGTAGGATAAGATTATACCTATTTTGAAACCCAATAGTTTCTAGAGATGGCCAGAATAGCCTCAAAGTTGACTGGTCCGAGCAAAAACTGGAAAACTCGCCGGAAACTGGGTAAATTTTAAACTTTCATAACTTCTTCAATACTCAACTAAATTAAGTGATTCAAAAGAAAAAATCATACTTCTTGATGAGACAAAGAGAATAGTACCTTTTTCGATTGCTAAATCGCCATGGTTTGGGAGGAAAACGACTCGAAAGTGGTTAACTCGAGACTAAGACAAGCACTTTCGAGCAGTTTTCCGGACAAACCATGGCGAGTTAACAGCCAGAAAAGGTACCATTCTCTTTGTATCGTCGAGAAGTATGATTTCGTTTTTGAATCACTTGATTTCGTTAAGTATTGAAGAAGTTATGAACGTTTAAAGTTTGCCTAGTTTCCGGCAAGTTTTCAAGTTTTCACTCGGACTAGTCAACTTTGAGGCTATTTTCTGGCTATCTTTGGCAACCATTGGGCTTCAAAATATATATAATCTTATTCTACACTTTTCTATCTTCATTTTGATATATTATGGGTCAAATTTGGTTAAGAAACGATTGAGTTACGAAGCTTTGAAAATTGCCCAAACTTTCGGCTAAGAGCTCCAGGATACTTAATGGAGTTTTTAACAGAAGGACTAAAATGATGGATGGTGGACAATCTCAGGGACCACTTTTATCGATTTGGAATCTCAAGGACCAAAGTGATGAGTTATGCAAATATCAGGGACCATTTTGGCGATTTAGCCTTCCAGAAATAATTTAGGCTATTTTGGTTCACTTTCAGAAATAATATAGGTTAGTTTGTTGTAATTCAAGAAATAGTGGTTTTGTTATAGTTTAAGAAATAGTGTTTATTTTGCTCTCTTTCATAAACAGTATGAGTTATTTTAGTTCCATAAATAGTGTGAGTTTTTTTGTTGTAGTTCCAGAAACAGTATGAGTTATTTTGGTTCAGAAATAGTGCTAGTTATTTTGCTGTAGTTCTAGAAATAGTATGGGTTATTTTGGTTCACTTTCAAAAATAGTATTAGTTAGCTATAGTTTCATAAGTAGTGTTTATTTTGTTACCTTCTAGACACATTGTGGTTTTTTTTTTATTCATTTCATAAATAGTATAAGTTTATTTGCTATAGTTCCAGAAATAGTGTGCATTATTTTGTTGTAGTTCAAAAAATAGTGTCTTAACTATTTTCATTGTTGCAGATGGAACAACGAAAAATGTTTGGGTGAAGAGTTTCCCTAATTTATATTGTTGCAAAATATCACTGTCGAGTTCTTCAAAAGAGGAGTTAATGAAAATCTTGCAGTCCTCTACCATTACATGAATCTATGCGAGTAATCTAGAGAACAAATGATGCCTAAAGATAAATGAGGACATAGAAATAGAATGGTAATAAACACAAACATCTCTGGTGCTTTGAACGGATTGTGAAGACCATGGGCACTTGGACAAGCTCTCTACAAATGGCTGCAATAGCAATCCAGCAATCCAAAAACATTCGTTACGGTACACATACACTGACATAGAACAAGATACTTGTATTAACCAAGATGGGTGCTCAATTGCTTAATATATATGCATTCTACAAAGGAAATGATATATTTGTAAAAAAAAAAAAAAAAAAAAAAAAAAAAAAAAAAAAAAACGAAAAGGATACTTGTATTATACAACCTGCAAGCATACCTTAATTCTTATTTCATCAACTTGCAAACTTTAAGTAATGGCTCCCCATTTAAAGGATCCAAAATAGTGTTCCATCTATTATAGTGTTCTTCCATTTACCCTGCACTGGAAAAATACAACATTTGTTTTTCAATAGATTTCAATACTTGATTTTCTGTCCTAGTCAGTTTTACGAAAGGTCCATACGCCATTGTATAAAAAGGTAACATAGAAAATACTATATAAAAAAAAAAAAAGTTGATGTAAGGAAATACGCTTAACAAATCAGGTTATAATCGTTCAAGTTTTTAGTCTCTAGTTACACCTCCAAAACCAATTACTGTTCTGAGTGCAGAGCACTTTTCATGGGAACCAATTTCCATTGGCAAATAACCTTCAAAATTTTAATGGTTCACCAGCAGACTATTTTGTTTGCTACTAATTAAATGAAGTATATATCAAATAAGGTTAAAAAACAAAGGCACGAAAAAGTTTAGTTCAATTGCTTTCAACCTTGGGTCTAGGGGTGGGCGCGGTGCGGTTCGGTGCGGTTTCGATTGAAACCACAACCGAAATCGAAACTTTTTGCGGTGCGGTGCGGTGCGGTTTTGAAGCCAAAACCGAAATGAAACCAAACCGTTTGGTTCGGTTCGGTGCGGTTTCAAACGGTTTCGGTTTGGTTTTTGAGAAAAAAATGTACAATTTAAAATATACACATATTTATGCATAAGACGGTCTTATTTTCCTTGTATATTAATTAATGAATATGCAGCAAAATTGCACCAAAAACAGCAACAACAATGCAGCAAAAAACAGCTCCAAAACTGCCAAAAAAATGCAGCCAAACTGCATTAAAAAACGCAGAAAAACAGCAGCAAAACAACACCAAAAAACTGTACCAAAACTGCAGCAAAAAACTGCACTGAAACTGCAGCAAAAAACAGCACAAAACTGCACAAAAAACAGCAGCTACACAGCAGCTAAACTGCACCAAAAAACTGCACAAAACTGCAACAACAATGCAGCAAAAAACAGCGCCAAAACTGCCAAAAAAATGCAGCCAAACTGCATAAAAAACACAGAAAAACAACAGAAAACAGCAGCAAGACAACACCAAAAACTACACCAAACCTGCAGCAAAAAACTGAAGGGAAAATCTGCTCACGAGAGTAGAAGGTATAATTGTTGATTGCAAGTAGAAATCCTAGATGCTTTACTGAATGGAACCTCATATGCATACTTCTTGCATTGTTCTAGTGGTAATCTAGTCCCACAAAAAAATCTAGTCCCACAAATATCAAAAGTAAACCTACTTTTTAACGATACGAAAGAAAGCTTGCGTCTCCAACCAACCTACTAAGAAAACCACACAAACTTCACAACAACGACGCTTCCATAATTGCGTTTCAACATTCATTTCTATGGACAGTTCAAGAACTTGAAGAAGTTTTACATCAATCTTACAGGAGAAATCTACACGAGAAGCGACTTTAATTCCCCGACGCTTAAAGGTCTAAGATGAAACACAAATAATTGAGATGATAAATGTCTACATTCTACAGAGGAATACTGCAGCAGTTGTTAGTTGGCAAACAACTTAATGAACAAGGCGATCAATCTTCTGAGTAGCAACAACGAATCAAAGTCTACAGCAAAATTTCCAAAAAGCTGATCCAGATTCAAGGGTGAGCATGAACTAGAATGGAAGAACACAAAAATCCATTTCAAATCTTGATGCAAGAAACACGAAGGAATCAAAGACCTAGACATAACCAAGCACTAAATTAGGATATTCTTGACAGACACAGCCTCGTGGGCAATGCTCATCGCTCCGCCATTCGGATACTCGTTCGGTGCAAATAAATTCAGAAAATGGAAGCAATAAATTCGAAAATGGAAGCAAATAAATTCAGGAAATTATCTTTCAAGACCCAAAACTTCTTTTTAAGACAATATAACTAAACAAATAACTAAGAAATTGTCTTACCATATTAGCTGGTAAGCAATGACTCAGTGAGGTCGCAAGGCAAGGCAGAGGCGGAGATGCAGATTGCAGTCAGGCAGTCGCCGATCACTTCCACCGCTTCCAGAGATGCAAGCAGGCAGTCGCTCGCAGAGGCAAACGCAGAGATGCAGATTGCAGAGATGGAAGCAGAAGCAGCCTGGTGATCGCAGAGGATAAACAGAGATGCAGATTGCAGAGATGGAAGCAGAAGCAGTCGCTCGCAGAGGCAGACGCAGAGATCGCAGAGGTGCAAACCCAAAACCGCAAAACCAAATCTATAACCTAGTTGAACTAATTAAAAATTAAAAAGTTTAAAATATAACATTTATTTATTATATGGTGCGGTTTCGGTTTCGGTTTCGGTTTCGGTGCGGTTTTGAAAACCCAAAATCAAAACCAAACCGTTTTGTGTGCCACGGTTCGGTTTTGAAACCGAAACCGTTTCAAAACCGAAACCGTTTCAAAACCGCAAAACCAAACCGTTTGGTGCGGTTTGATTCGATTCGTGTTTCGGTTTCGGTTTTCGGTTTCAAGTGCCCACCCCTACTTGGGTCATTTAATTACGAGAATTAAAGAAAGCACTGCACTAGTCTATAGAAGAAGAAAAGGAAGAAGATTTTAAAAGTAAAGAGTGGTAAAAAGATGATACCCAAACCAATCAAAAAAAGGAAGAAGATTTTAAAAGTAAAGAGTGGTAAAAAGATGATACCCAAACCAATCAAAAAAGTCACTTATTAGTAAAAGTAATAAGTGAAAAGGGTGCGGATGTGAAACCAGCCTTCAATTCTTGAAGGGTTGAAGATACAGGTGGGCAATCGGGTCCGGGACCCGCGGGTCGGGGCGGATCCTTACGGTTCGGGACGGGTACGGGACGGATCCAAAAATTATAAATACAAAAAGGGACGGGGAGGGCCGGTTTTAAAAATTGGAGAAAACGGGCCTCCGACCCGGATCGTTCATTGCCCATCTAAATGAATAACCCTCTATTAGTCTATCTCTCTACCCACCCATTCACTCAACTGTCAAATTCACCCCACCCTCGATCTCTTTGACACCATTCCGAGCCAGCCGCCATCACCATCGTCCTCATCGTCTCCCCTCACCCTCGATCTCTCTGACACCACTCCGAGCCAGCCACCATCACCATCGTCATCGCCGTCTCCCCTCACCCTCGATCTCTCTGACACCACTCCGACTCTCCTCCCTTGATCTATCTGACACCTTACCCTTGCTCTAACCACATTGTCGCGCGGGCTTCCATGGCCTCGCCCCCGCTCAACTCGTATAGCAGTCGTCGACAATGTCGTAAGTCTCTATCTCTCTTCCTCTCTCCCTCCCTCTATGAATTTCCGAAACCGTCGTGGGTTGATTGAATTAAATTTTGTATTTATATTCTCTAAATTTTCAATTTTTTTGTTTTGGGTTTGCAAAGCATGATCAGTGGAATTTAAGGTTTCTGATTTAGGAATTTTGCAGGTTTCTGATTTTGTTTTGATTTGATGTAATTTGTAATGGTAAGGGTGGAGGTATTGGATCCGTGAGGAAGACGACGTATCTAGTTCGATTTGTGTGTCAAGGTCAGCGAGAAATGCTTGAAGACGACGTCTCTGGTTCGATCCGTGAGGAAGACGACGTCTCTGGTTCTCATAGGGATTCAATTTTATTTTATTTTTTGATGAATTCGAAATTGTATTTGAAGATTTTGTATAGGAGATGCTTGATGGAAGTGGTGGGGATCTCGGGGGTTGTGAATGTTAGGGTTAGGGTTTTGCCCTCCAAAAAGGTCACGAATGGGTTATAGGTGTTGGATTTGGCGATGGTGGATACTGGGAAGAATCTGGATAATGAAAATTAGGGGAAAAAAAAGTTTGTACCCGTAGGAACCAGCCCGTTTTATACGGGCCGGGTTAGGTCCGATTCTGAGTTTTAAAATAATAAAATCCGCCCGGGCCCGGCCCGTTGTATTTTCAAGCAGGTCCGGTTCTATCCCTTCAATTTTCGGCCTGGTCCGGCCCGTGCCCACCCCTAGTTGAATAATCAAACATGCAAAAAAGGTCACACAACCAAAATATTTTCTCATAAACTAAACAGTAAGCAGTAACCAGCCTCAAAAAATAAACACAAACACAAACAAACAGACCATGAGCCTTAGATTCTTCATGAGGGCATGCGCCGAAGCTTTCTGCCATGGAAAAACTCCCACTTGGGCTCTTTCTCTGCAAAATTTCAAACAAGAAAATAATCACAACATATATATACACGCACACGCACACGCACATATTGGTAATTCAAGAATTGATTGGTTGAGATCAATCAATCAAGGGAAGGGAGCGTCAAAATTAATCAAAAGGGTAGGGGGCACAATTATGTTGGGGATACGAGAGAAAGATGGAAGGAGATGAAGGATTTGAGGTTTTGGAGGCTATGGCTTGGTTTTGTACCTTTGTTTTTGGATCTGATTATCTCGAGATTTCAGCCATGTTTTCCCTTCGGGTTTGTGCTAGGTGGTTGCATCTCTCTCTCTCTTTTTCGTCATCATCATCTCCTATTGGAACCTGAACCACAAGCGTAAGGAATTCCAGGTCTTTCTCGTTTAGTCCTGATATTGAACAAGAAAAATAAAGGAAGCAGATGGACAAAATCATACAGTTTTGCATGTCGGAGATCGCTTATGATTTTGACGGAGATGTAGACGCCTCAAAATTAAGTTGGGGAGTCGGGTATGTGGTTTTTGCTTAGTGACAAAGCTGCATTGCGAAATTGGAAAGAAAAAACGGAAGGTTTCTAATGTCAGGAAGAAATGGGGGAGACCGAGGATAGCACGGAGATACTAAACAGACAAAGGCTTGCAGTTAGGGGTAAAATTGAAAATTCATTGTTTGGGCCATTTTAATTGGATTAGTTTAGTGTTGGGTTTATTACTTGATTTTTGCTTAAAATCCAAAATTTTTGAGTTCTTATCATTAGTTTTCTTTAAAAAGAATTCGTTAAATTGAGGTCATGTATAACTAATCAAGATATTGGTCTGGTGTTGTTTTGTGTTAGAATATGATCAAACCATAATTCTAAAGGAAGAGATGGTGGTGATAACATTATTTGGGGGTGTTGAACTTATTAAACGTGATGTGGTTTTGATTAACACAATTTATCGATTAGCTAGTTGTATTTCTTTAAAAAATATCGACATTTGAATCGCCCCCTTTACGGCACAACAATAGGATTTCTTGTACTCTAAGCTTCCGATTTCACTTTTTATTTCTCATTGCACTGAGTAACATGCCCAAATTTTTTATTGGTTTTTGCGTTTGACTTGATGTTGGAAGCTTGGGGCCAAAGAAACAAGTCCTAGGTAGAAATGGAAATGAATAACAATGATAATTTTGTAGGACGAGGATCCTCTCCGAATCCTCTTTGTGGGGATTCTAGGGATCCTCACATCCTTGTCATTCATTGTATATCATGCGATCAATTTTCGTCAGGTACTATTTATGTTTAATTTTAAATAAAAAAGGTTAAATGATTTCTAACCATACCATATACGATGAATGACTAAGATGTGAGGATCCCTAGGATCCCCACAATATGGATCCGGATGGGATCCAATTCCAATTTTGTAGACCTTTTTACAGATGACATGTCTTTGTGTACAACAACAAAAACCAAAAAAAAACAAAAAAGATCCAATGAGAAGAAATTAATTAACTAAAATACAAGGGTAGTACTTATAAACCTAACACAAAACATAAACCATAACTAAACAGAGCAAAAGCAAACAAGAAGAAGATGAAACTAAAGTCTTGCCATCTCCACGGACCCCTCAAATTAACTTTCTCAAAATCCGACTGCAGCTTGAAAATCTCATAAGGTTGATCCCGTAGCCGAGCCACCTTACAGCTAGAATCCTGAAAGTTGTAAAAGATAACTTTGTAGAACCCTTTCATCAGTGCAATATCACTGTTGTAAAGTGCTTCAGGAAAAGGAGCACAATAGCCCTCCAAATCTTCAAGAACTTCAAGATCAATGTTCAATGCTTGTCTCTTGCTCCATACTTTTTTATCATGATCTTCCATTACCCATAACTTCATGAACGTCTCTCTTCTATCAAAATAAATCAAACCAAGATGACCTTGGTACTCCACGAGTTGGTTAAAATTGAAACAGTCACTATCACGTACCGGCTGCGGTAAATCAAATATTTCCCATCTATCTTCGTTATCTCCGTAATAAAAAGCGAATACTTGGTTGTTTGTTAGAAGCCAGTAGCACGCGCCGCATGCTGTTACACAAGGCCGGTGAAAACCGAAGAAAACACAATAGGGTAAACTAGTAACATCCTTCAGTTTCTTCCATGCCCAAGTGTTTGAATCAAACACCTCGCACATTAGGTTGTTGTAGCTTTTTAGTTTATGATGAGGCTTGTAGACGGAGATTGGAGTTTTGGGATCTGAGAACCGAATAATCTTGTACCTTAAGGGTTTCGAGCTCAACACAACCATAGCAGTTATTCTGTTAAAGTACCTAGTTTTTGGATTGGGTAATATCTCATATTGTAGAGTAGTCGGCTTGCACACAAAATAATCAGGTGCCACGGAGGAGGGTCTAGGGTTTTGGCTCACGCAAAACACTAGGCCATGAGTACTACTGACAGCTTTGATCTTGACAGGAACAGGCAAGAAGTTTAGTAGCGATGAAAGTATCAAAGTCTTGTTGGACTTACTATCAATAGACGCCAAGGTTGATGAATATTTGTTCGGAATTAAAAGCCCAGAAACTGTGCCGCTCCTCTTACAAAACAAATGCCAGAACCATGAGTCATATGTGATGTGATTCCAGTCCTTCGAAACCAGCCTACAACGGCCTAGACTATAGAGTGATTTGATTCGCGTTAAAATCTGATCAAACAATATTTCAGAAGGAAGAGATGGTGGTGAAGCCATTAGAGCTCGTTAAAGAAAGACGATACCAAATACAATGGGATATTCTTCGGAGATACGAACTCAGGATACCTTCGAGGTTTTTTTTCCTTTCACATTATGAGGTCAAGAGGTTTAAATAGCACGATGCACTAGAGGAATCTTGGAGACCAATTAATCATATCCCATCCGTATTAGGTTTCTTGTATTTCAAGCTTCCCATGGCTGTATTAATTAACGTTGGACTAATAATTGCTTCATCGAGTCCCTATGCAGATCGGTTTTGAACTAGAATCTCCAGTGGTGCTATGACTTATTTGGCTATATACCATAATGTAGAAATTTCAAGTAAATTTCAATTCAAATTGATTTACTCACCCCGCTCTTTATCACTACAAAGCGGCGGAAGCCGTCTTTCATAGTTGAAATTGAAAACTTGAAAGGAGTACTTTTTGTGCATAGATTTGGGAATAAAAGAAGAGTGCGATATGCCCACTATATAGTTTTATTTCCTCACCCAGTTTTTAACAAAAATTTTAATACTAAATTTACCTTATGTAAAAAGACTTCAAAAGTCTAGTTAAAAATTAATCCTCTTATATATTTTTGGATTAAATACCTAGAATCCCTCAACCTTTTAGTGTTATTCCAAATTGGTCTCAACCTTTTTAAACATTCCAAACAAGTATCTAACCCGATGAAAATGTCACATTTGTTAAGCCCCAGTTAAATTTCATTTAAATTAACTAAGGCTTACTTTGTCTTCAAAATCATTAGAAGGTCATGGAAGCATGATCTCTACCAACTAATGTTCACCACCACCCCATCAAGCCATCACCTCCAAACTCAATGCACAATACCAACTCCACCCTACAACTCAAGCCGCCAACATCGAGGAAAAGGTCATGAAGGTTGCTGACATGGTATGGACTGCTAGGATGCAGCCACCACCATCTTCACCACCTACAAAGAAGAACTAGAAACTTTATGAGCCGATAATCGACAAATGAGGAAATCACATGAGTAGAAACAAGCTCCTTGAAACTCTATTTGAATTCTTAACCCTCTTCTTTAGAAAATTGCCCTCCTGATGTAATTTCAATTTGGGTCCATTTTCAATTATTGAATTCCCGTTTGATCATTAGGTTCCATATTATATAATCTATGTTTGAAGTTTAGATTTTGAGGCAACTAATATTAATGTTGAACATGACATACCAGTTGGTGGATTTTTTTTTTTTTTTGAACAAACGAAATTATATACACTAATGGGGAGGGGGTGGGCTTGGCCTTACAATGTGCTAGCAATCATGTGGTTCAAATTCACCTTTGGCGAGAGTCGAACCTAAACCTCTCACTTACAAGTGAAAAAGAATATCATTGAACCGTAGTACTAAGTGGCCCTAGTTGGTGGGTTTTGAATATAAAGGTTGTGATGGGGTTTTGGTGGTCATAGGTTGAGCTTGGAGGTGGCGGGGGCTTGATATTTTCCGATCTTCATATTTGTTTTCCATTTTATTTGTGAATTTGTTTATTTAATTTTCACTCTTCATGTCTTTTTAGAAGTTACTTTTATTATTACTTTAGTGTTCATATAAACTAAAAAGTGGGACCTATTGTTGTCACATGTACATTTAATGGAAAAATTAATTGGGGTTTAACGGATGTGACATTTTTAATAGGTTGGGCACTTTTTTTTAATGTTTAAAAAGATTGAGATCAATTTGAAATGACGCTAAAAGTTGGGGGGTTTAAGTTACTTAATCCTTTATATTTATAAGGAGATTCAATACACTGAAATCTTTGAAAAAATTAGCCTTCTATAGCCTTCTTCCTCTGATTTTATTCTCTTATATAGATAAGTCCTCGAGTGGAAAGGAATTAATCCTTTCCTTATTAAGTTTCTTTTACTTCAAACTTTTGGTTTTGCCCTAGCCAGATAGGAAAACTTAGCTTTTGGCTTTTGGTTTTACTTCAAGCTTTTGGTTTAATTCCGGTTGGGGTTTGGACTACAATCTCCAATCAATGAAATAATTATTTGACCAGGGAACGGGAGAATTCCGACTACTGCTGGCAGGCCAGCCGATCTGTGAGCACCGTGAGAACTGGATTCAGTTGTTAGAATGTTAATTTGTTAAGCTTTTTAGAATTTTTCTACTAAATAATGATATCATATTTGAAATATTTCAAATTTCTTTGTTGTAGCATTTGCCTCTGCGCAAGAGAGTTGTAAAATTAGAATGATACCATATGATGCTTAGTTTCCATTGTCACCTGAAGAGCTCTGGCTTAAAACCCTTAATCATTAAGACAGATGCTAAATCATCCAAACCAGCCACTACTTTGTTATAACAGTAAACAGTTAGTTGTGGTAATTGTGTAATTAGTTGTAGAAGTTAAGGGTATTAGTGTAATAAGCTTGTGGCTATATATATCTTCTTGTAATGTCATAATTATTCAATTAATAAAAATCAATCTTTACAAAGAGAATCTCAGTTTCTATATGGTATCACGCTATCTGCCTCAAGGCGTTGATCCTCTTCCACTTACCGCTTCAAGTTCTTGATCGATTTCTTCATTTCTCGATCGGTTTTTGTCTTCGATTCGTGATTATTCTTCTCTTATCTCGAATATTGCCTTTGTATGTCATGGCCTCCCCCTCTGAATCATCATCTCCGATGAACTCACCGCCATTACCAAACCCTAATTCCTCTGGAAATTATCAACCTTAGAATTCATATATGTCTCTTACGATCCAGAATATCGGCAGCATGGTGCCAATCAAATTTAAGCGCAACAATTATCTACCATGGCGTGCGTTGTTTGCTCCAATCATGCGCAGATACAAGCTTCTTGGCCTTATTGATGGCATCGAGCCATGTCTTGCTCCACTTCTCCCTGATCGATCTCTAAATCCAGCTTTTGAGCGGTGGTTTGAAAAAGATCAAAATCTTTTGAATGGCAGAATTCGACGCTCTTTGAAAACCTAATTCCTTTCACGGTCGCTGTATCCACATCTCGAGAACTATGTCAGAAACTTGAACAATGTTTTGGTGGAGTCTCTAATGCTTATATCAATCAACTCCGTTCTCGTCTTTAGTCAATTCAGAAAGGCTCTCAATCAATCTCGAAATATTTTCAACAAATTAAGGAAATTTCGGATTCTCTTACTGCTGCTGGTGCAACCATTTCAGATCATGGCCTAATTGCAGCAACACTTCATGATTTACTTGATGAATTCGAGTCGTTTATTGACTTAATCATGCTTCGATTGTCTTCTATTTCTCTTGAGGAATTGCATGGTCTGCTGCTCACCAAAGAAATTTCCAAGGCTTATCGCAAGCAAACAACTTCTTCCTCTGTCACTAAGCCATTCCAGGCCTTTTCTGTTCAGTCTCAGGCACCATTATTGCCAACGCCTCCTCCACAGGCCTTTGTTGCGTGCAATCAGCCACTTCAGTCTTCCTTTCATTATAATTGTAATCGAGGGAGACATAATTGCAATTTCAACAGAGGGAATCACAATTACAGTACCAATTATGTCAATTTCAATGGGCATTATCATGGAAATCAGAATCGTTCTACTTATCAAGGCTCCAAGTCTAACTATCAAGGTTCTTCATCTTCATCTGATAGCAAGAATACATGTCAAATTTGTGGTTCTACTAGCCACGAAACCATTGACTGCTTTAATAGGATGAATCCTAAGATATCTGGAAAGGTACCACCAGCCAAACTTGATGCTTTGTGTGCTCATTACTCATCCAAACCCTCTTCATCTTGGTTACTGGACTCTAAAGTTACCTCACATATCACAAATGACATTGCCAATCTCTTAGTCTCATCTCCCTACACTGGTGAAGACAAAGTCTACATAGGAGATGGTAAAGGTCTGTCTATCCATAATATTGATTCATCTTCTTTAAATACATCTCGTACTCCTTTTAAGTTGAGCAATGTATTGCATGTCCCTCGTATGAAACACGAGTTATTGTCCGCTTATCAATTTCTGAAAGACAATAATTGTTCTTTGACACTTGACCCTAATGGATCCACTGTAAATGATCGTGTTTCGGGGAAGACGCTTTTGCGAGGACGAGTTAAAGATGGATTTTATCCACTTCAAGGATCCAGTCACCACACTACTTCATCACCATCAGCTCTAATAAGTGTCAAAGCTCTTGTGAAAGTTTGGCATCGAAGATTGGGTCATCCATCTTCTTCTCTCTTTTGAAAGGTTATTTTCAGCAATAAACTTGCAATGCAAGGCAAGGCTACTGTTGATTTTTTTTTGTCCCGATTATGCTCTAGCTAAAAACCATAAACTTCCATTTGGATCTGCTAGCTCTACAACTACTCACAGCGTACAATTGTTTCATTGTGATCTTTGGGGTCCTGCCTCCATTACTTCACCTGGTGGTTTCAAATACTACTTGTTGTTAGTTGATGATTACAGTAGATATAGTTGGCTATTTCCATTAAAGGCAAAGTCTAATGCATATTCTACTTTTGTTGTATTTAAACATTAAGTAGAAAATTTACTTAGAAATAAAATCAAGATTGTGCGTTCAAATTCAGAGGGTGAATTCATTGGTACTATGTTCAAGTCTTTTCTTCATAATCATGGTATTCTTCATCAATTAATTTGTCCACACATTCTTGAACATAATAGTTGTGCTGCAAGCAAGCATAGACACCTTGTGGAGACTGCCAGAACCTTACTTATTGCTTCTAATGTTCCACATCTCTATTGGGTGAAGGCTTTCTCTACTACTGTATATCTCATTAACAGGTTGCCAATCTCTCGGATATCTAAGTCTCCTTGATAATTGCTTTTTCACAAGCCACCAAACTATTCTAGACTCAAAGTCTTTGGATGCAGTTGTTTCCCATGGCTCAAGCCATATATTCATTCAAAGTTGGATGCAAAGAGCAAAAGCTGTGCCTTTTTGGGTATAGTTTACAACACAAGGGTTATAAATGTCTTGACCCAATAACTAACATAATTTATATTTCAAGCCATG